GCGAAAACAGTATATACAATTATATACATTGTGTCACGAGGCAAATACGGATGTAAGAGGGATCATGTGGTGTTGGTTGGTAAGTCACGGGTCGTTGTTACTCCAACATCCTTTAACCCAGATCCACTAGAAACATTATACCCGGCCGCGCCCTCCTCATAGAAATAGACTGGCCACCCAACTCCCCTATCAAAATCCTAGCCATATACGCACCCAACCCCCACTACGAGAACTCCCAGTTCTGGAGGACACTCCAACAGAACCTTCATGGCACCTCCATCGACATTATGCTTGGGGACCTCAACATGGTAGAAGAAGCAATTGACAGACTTCCACCACACCCAGACCCGGAAACAACAGTAGCATCCTTCCACAACTTCACATCCCCAAACAACCTAACAGACGGCTGGAGGAACTCACACCCAGCCCCCGAAAAAAACTTCACCTTCGGCCACTCCACAGGGACATCCCTCTCCAGAATTGACCAAATATATGCATCCAACACTATCAGAGAAAAAGCCTACACATGGGAAATATCCAGCCCGGGCCTATCCACTGCCGACCACCAACTCATCTCAGTGGAACTCAGAGACAACTGCGCTACCACAATCGGGAAAGGAAGATGGGCCATTCCCCTTTACCTGACCAAAGACCAAAACTTCCTACACGAAGTTGAAACTATCGGCAACGAGGCCCTAGACGAAATAGCCAGGAACAACGACACCCAGAACACCTTCCAAGACTTCATATCAGCCATGACGCACCTAGCCAGAAAAATCACAAAAATAAAAGCAGGTAAACTCAACTCAGAAGTAAGGTGCCTCACACACAGACAGGACAAGGCAATGTCAAGGCTGACCTCCTCCAATGAGACCCTAACAGAAATGACACAACTCCAGATACAAAACCTAACCAAAAGAATAAATGAAATCGAAAAACTGAAACAAACTAAATCAAGAGCTAATGCAGGGGCAAACAAAAGACTCCTAAGCGAAACAACCAACAAGTACTGGTGCAAATGGGGGAAGGAAAACAAACCACGTGACACAATATCCGAACTGAGAACCCCGGACTCCAACCCACCAGCATACACATCCAAATCGGAAGAAATGACAAATATCGCCGCCAACCACTACAACAATGTGCAAAACAGAGACTTAACCACCCACCAGGAAGCAAGGGAAACCCACATTACGAACACCCTCAACCTCATCTGGAACCACATCCCCCCGGAAATACACTCAGACCTGGCCACCCTGCTAAGTCTTGCAGATATAGACAAAGCACTAAAACAATCCCCTAACGAAAAAGCTCCTGGCTTGAACGGAATACCCACTGAGCTATACAAAAACCTGAACTCCAGGTGGGAAAAGCGGAAAAATGATAACCAAGGCCTTCACATAGTAAAACTCCTAACTCTCCTAGCCAATGACATCGAAAAAAATGGCACCTCATGCCCACAATTCTCGGAAGGATGGCTATGCCCACTCTACAAAAAAAAAGATAAAAGAGAAATCGAAAACTACAGGCCAATAACTGTACTGAACGCTGAATATAAGATCATCACGACAGCCCTCATGAATAAGCTATCCCTGATAGCTCCCCTCCTTATCCACAAATGCCAAGCAGCCTTCATGAAAGGCTGAAGCATTTTCGACCAAATTGACCTTGTAAATCGCATGACGGACCTGTGTGAACTAACCAGACAGGACGGCGCAATCATTGCCTTCGACCAAGAAAAGGCATATGACCGCATCCACCATGATTACCTCTGGAGGGTCATGGAAACCATGGGAATCCCACCAGAACTAATATCAACAATCAGAAACCTCTATTCCAAAGCTAAGACTAAAGTAATCCTAAATGGCGAAATCAGTAAAGACTTCCCAATAACCAGAGGGGTACGCCAAGGTGACCCACTATCATGCCTCCTGTTCAACATCGCCATAGAACCCTTATCAATTGCCCTGAGAGAATCTCTGTCCCTCAAAGGACTAGAAGTCAAAACACCCACAATCTCACAAAGAGTCATAATATCCCTCTTTGCCGATGACATGGCTATCTTCCTCTCCAAAGATGACGACCTGAATGACCTACTCACGACATTAGATCGCTGGTGCATTGCCTCCAGGGCAAAGTTCAACCAAGAAAAGACAGTTGTCCTCCCTGTCGGCTCACCAGACTTCCGCGAATGGGCCCACAGTGAGAGATCCATTAACCCCTCCTCCAGCGACAAGCTAGATGAATCAATAACCATACTAAAGGATGGACAAACTATGAGATACCTAGGGGCCCAATGCGGGAACAAGCCCAACCATAAAGACCCCTGGCCCACGATCACAGCCAACATCGAGAAATCACTCACCCAGTGGAACAAAACCCACCCATCCATCGAAGGTAGACGCCTAATTATCCAGATGACCATCGGAGGTATGACCCAATTTCACACCCGGGCCCAAGGAATGCCAAAAGACGTGGAAAGAAACCTGAACAGAAGAATACGTGAATTCATATGGAACTCAGACAGCCCCCCCCCCCAATCAGCATGAACCAGCTGAATAGTCCAAGAGATCAAGGCGGTAAAAATGTCCTAAACTTACAAGACAGGAACGAGGCGATCCACCTCATCAAACTCCAAAAAATCCTTGACAGATCACCCAACAGACCCCCGGCCTCAGACGCTGCTGAAGCAATCCTGATGGCTACTCTCCCAAAAAACCAACAGCCCCAAAACCCAGCATACCCCATCATCACAGAGGTCCTCATCCAGAAACCCTTCCTTAACGCCCGGACCCACCGAAGAAACATCCCAGCCGAACTCCACAAACATCGGTGCAAAATACAACCTTAGATTAGAAAACCCGACAATTGACCTAGACACCAAACTCAACTTACCAGCCTGGGCCCATCCGGGCCTGAGAGACAACACCCAAATCAGCGACCGCTCAAAACCGGCATGCTGCCTGAGGGCAACTCATGGATGCAAATGGGTCGGCGATCTAATCATCCAAACAGACCACCAAGAAAACCCATGCCACGACCCAACCAAAAAAACCAAATGTCCCTGCACACCATGCCAGTCCTACAAAGCTAATGGCTGTAAGAACCCTGATGCTTGTTACCAAATGGCGACAAAAATATCCATGAACCTTGACCTCCACTACAACCCCTACAGCGACTCACACCTCCTCTCCCAACCGGACTGCAATCCCAGAGAAATGGCCAGGCAACACACAGCTGGGGACCCAATGGCCATTAAAATCTTCCACCCGGCCCCCAGTTCCTGCACGCCACTCGACCACCACTATAGGGTATTCGGCAGACCCCCCCAGAACTCCCAATCACCCCCACCCCCCATCTCCTACAACCTAACGACGAGATAGCATATACGGATGGATCCTGCTCCCTAAATGGGAACACAAACGCCACAGCCGGCTTCGGAGTGTGGTATGGCCCAAACAACCCCCGAAATACCAGCAAAAGAATCAACCCCCGTCTCCCACAATCTAATAATACAGCCGAAATGCTGGCCATACACCATGCCGCGATATCCATACCCCCGTCATCCAACCTCCACATCAAGGCTGACTCACAATGGTGCATCAGCACCCTCTGCGACAACCTCGAATCCTTAGAAGACTCAGACTACGCCTATGCCAAGAATCAATACATCACCAAACTAACAGTAAGTGCATTAAGATCCAGACTCACCCCTACCACATTCAAATGGCTAAAAGGCCATGCTGGGATCCATGGAAACGAAGAAGCGGACAACCTCGCCGCAATAGGAGCACAACTGGCTCCCGACCCCCTCCCCCACATACTGAGTGGCACCTGCCTAATTTCCCTAAAACAGTCCACAGCAACAAGACTAATATGCAGAACCAGATTAGCGAAAAACCCGGTACGGAAAATAGCAATGCTTAACAACATCACCAAAATCCAAATGACCCTGGCGAGTATGAACAATGACTCCCCCACACAAAACAAGATCTGGGAGAACCTAGGGAAAAACCGCAAAGATGTCTCCCCCGAAATCTGCAACTTTGTATGGAAACTAACCCATAACTGCCTCAAGATCGGTGACTACTGGAATAAAATCCTAGGCTTCGAACACCGCGGTGAATGTAATGGGTGCCAACAAACAGAATCAATGACACACATACTCTTTGAATGTCCCCTCAATCACAGCGCCTGGGTTTGGTCCACAGCCAAGGCAATATGTGATCACCGGAAAATAGAATGGCCTAACGACCTAAACACCTCACACATAATGGCCGCCCCACTAACCAAGATAATGAACACCAACGGTAAAGTAAGGATGGGCGAAACCAGACTGTACCGAATCGTAGTCCTAGAATGTGCATGGCAAGTCTGGAAGACCAGATGCTGCAGAGTTATAGATGCCGATCACCCACAAACCTCACTAAGAGAAGTAAGAAATGCCCTGAAAGCCGGCCTCAACGACAAGCTCCAGCAAGACATTGCCCTCACAAACCGTAAGAAGTATGGCCGGAAAGCCCTGCCAGCCAAAACAGTCCTGCTTACCTGGAGTGGGAACCTTCACAACAAAGACATACTACCGGACAACTGGCTCAACAGCACCGGGGTTTTAGTGGGTATACCGGACCCCCCCGGGTCTGGGAGTCCCACACAGTGCCGACACCTGGCCAGTGCGTAACGCATTTCCCCGTGGTGGCAGTCCAACACTCCCACAAACCTATCTACTCCACGGGACCTACCTCCCTATACAAACCCCAAATACATGAAAATGTATCGCAAAAGCTACTGGGGTTCCACCAAAAAAAAAATCTGCCAGTTTTGATTCGAATGGGTAAGTGGGGCAGGTGAATCCTCTACCTAAAAAAGTTGGCAAGATCGTGGCTCACAACAGGGATTTCCTTATTTGGATCAACAGCTCAAGCACCGGGGTCTTCACCCTTGGCAATTACGGCAAGGGCAGCAACCCTCAGATCAGTTTATGATAATGAAGTTCAATGGTGCCCATCACGGTATATAGGATGTGCGGGATGACCGTAGGGCTAGAGGTTACCTCCTGCTGTCACTCTCAGCCACGATGTCCGACAGCAAACAACTTGATAGTGAATACTTTATAAAGAACAAAGAACAGTAATGCACGGCCTATCTTCTAGGTCTGACTGGGGAAAAGCCATTGCCAAAGAGCCGTTGTGAAGCGGTCTATCATTTTCTCGAAAATGGGCATCTCAACTACCTTCAGACATGTTCTCACAGATGGTGGCGACGATGCCAGCCAGAAGTCAGTGAAGATCCCTGAGAATTGTAGGTCTGATTTCTTGATCTGGTCTTTACCAATGACACTAGTTTTTGTCACAAGGGGAAGAGAAACCACTTGACGATCCTGTTCGCACCTGTGTGCAGACATATCTTACTGTGAGCCGCAATGGCCACTTCCCATATTCCTTGGAACCTCACCTGCCCACTACCAATCCACCTCCTGTGTCTGTACCCACTCCATCCGCCCAGGTCAAGTCAATGGGGACCCATTGCCGTGCCCAATCCCGTGCCTGTATACACTCTGCCTAGTACAGGTTGCCACAGGAGGGCCAGCTCAGGCATCAGTCTTAGGGGCTAAGTCAGGGAACAGGCAGGTCATAGGAAAAGACGAAGAGAGATCGCTTCACCGAGATACTTTTGATTAGAATTCGAGTACTCATTTCTAAGCGCAGCCTGGAATTTGTCAAGATACAAATCAGGCTTTTGTTCGATGAGGCTGTCAGGGAACTTAAGATCACACACCACAAGTTTTATTTAGATGTGATTTTTGTACTTACATTCACTGCATGGATACTAAGCGCTCGATGTCGCCCTCTCGATCTTGATGGTGTGCATGTGGAGCAGCAAGCAACTCCCGAACAGTACGTTCGGACAATCAATCCCAAGGCCTCAGCAATCTCTTGTTGGGTCATCCTCGAAGATAGTGACACTAAGATGTCTTTTGCGCTGCACTCAAGATGTATTCCTGTGTTAGCTAGACAGAGTTAATGGTTTGTTGATGCAAGGGCAATGAGTTTTGGCGCTTAAGCACCACATTTAGGGGGAGTTCTACGGTGCCATTGGGGTTTCCATTCAAATCCTGATTCTGGTAGTGGGTGACTCCACCCCAGATCGCTTCCGTCAAAATCGAAACTGGCAGATTTTTTTGCACTTCGCTGTAAGCCAGTGAATTCACTGGACACACTGAAGATTCGAACAGGGTCCGACAGGTGACCATAAAATTTGTGGACGGGTGATGACGTTGATGTCATATCCCAGAATCCCGACCCCACGCACTCCCACCACACCACACCTTCCTAACAACTTCACCATCCCCTACACCATGCCTCCCTGTCAGGGCACACCCGCCTGACCCGGGTCCACCTGGACCCACCCGGCCACACCACACCCGCTCCCCACTGTCCAACCCTCTCCCTCCTCCTTCCTCTGTCTCTCCTCCTCTTTCCTTTCTCTCTTTCTTCCCCTTTCTTTATCTCATTCCTCTCATCTTCCTTTTCTTGTTTATTTCCTTCTATCTACATGGACCACCCTCCTTTGTATCAATGTACTATTGACCCGTCCGGCCCACACACCCCGGACGGCTCCCCGCTGTGCCCAGCACGCGTGCATGCAGCGGACGCTCTCAGGATCCCCCATGGGGATACCCGGATGCCTGCGGCTGTCTCCGAGGGTGACGTGGCACTCGTCATGTGACTCAAGCCGCATGTACATAAATGTACCTGAAGTGGGAACCGAAGAAGTAACCTTCTTCTCACATTCTCCACTTCAGTCTAAGTGGCCAGGGACTGCTGTCCCTTCCCGGACCCGCCAGCACGCATGCCCGGTTTGCACCCTGCGAGGGCCCTTCTGCCGGGCGATACATCCGGACCCCCTCTACCCTGGACGTGTCCCTGACAGCAGAAGAAGGTTTCAACCTCATCTCTCCCGCCTCCCCCATCTCCCCTGTCTCCCCAGCCATGGTGTCAGAAGAGCAGTATGAAGAACTGCTGGCTTGCTTCCAAGAGCTCCAGGCCATTGTGGAGAGCCAGGCCCGCAACCACCCCCCACCCACACCTGCACCCGCACCCGCACCTGCACCCAGACCCAAACCACCTAAGGTCGCCCCCCCCACTCCCTTCTCAGGAGCTAGCGAGGACCTTGACCGTTTTAAGGCCGAGTGTGGGATTTATTTCCACGTTCGCACGGCTGAGTTCCCCACCGCCCTCTCCCAGATCCTTTTCGTGTTGTCTTACATGAAAGGAGGACCCACAGGGGCATGGGCCACGCAACGCACAATCACGCTGTTGACGGCCGGCTCCCCCCCCTCACCATGGACGAGTTCAACACAGAACTCGATGCCATGTTCCAGGACCCGAACCGGGAGGCCACAGCCAGACAGAAGCTGGCAGCCATCCGCCAGGGAAGCGACTCCGTGGACAAAGTGATCCAGGAGTTCGAGATATTGGGACCCGCCTCAAGGCTGGGTGACGTAGGACTAGTCGACCGCTTCGAGCAGGCGATTAACTCCCGCCTCCGGGAGAGCATATACCAGCTCCGCCCCATGCCCACTACCTGGGCCGAGTGGAAACGCGAAGCCATGCTCCTGGACAACCAGTGGCGACAGTTCCAGGCCACTCAACCGCGCGCGTTCCCACCCAAACCCACGCTCCCGCCAACTCAACCATCGTCGATCATGACCCCACCACAGGCACGACCCACACCTGGGCCCCCACGACTTGCACCACTGCCTCCACCCTCCACCCCAGTAGCCCGCCCCACGACAGGGACAGGCCCCCAACCGATGGACCTCGACCGCTCGAGGACTGACCAAAGACGGTGCTACAACTGTAACACCCAAGGGCACATCCTACGAGACTGCCCGCACCCCAGAGTCCGCCAGGCGCGACGTCTCCACCCTGAGGATCTTCGGGCGCTGATGGAAGGGCTGAAGAGGCAGTTAACTGAAGAGCCAGAGACGGAAGGGACAGAGCCAGAGACGGAGGCTCAGGGGGATTTTCAGGAAGGTGGCCAGTGAGGGATGCGTCCCGGGCGCCTGTAGAAGATAGCTCGTGTAAATACCGCAGCACGCATGAGTCAACGCCAATGCCAAAGCTTCACCGAGTTATTGCCAAGAAGAGGAGAAAAAACGCATCCTCGACCCATGAGAGTAAGAGAACCATAGAGACGGCACCCGAAGTGGCAGTATCCCCACCAGCCATCTATGTCCTCTCCAAGCAATCCCCCAGATCCCTCAACCTTATGGTGAAACTAACCACCCTGACCTCCCTCACGTCAGTGTCGGTATCAGCCCTCCTAGATTCAGGAGCCACTGGGAACTTCGTAAGCCCTGAGTTCGTCCGGAAGCACAAGCTCGAGACAACCCCTCTCCCGCAACCCATTCCCATCCGTAACGTTGATGGAACCCCAAATGAGAATGGAGCCATAACCGAAGAGTTGGAAGCCCTCCTGATGTTTGGGCAACACACAGAGCGTGCGCCCGCTTCGTGGTTGCAAACCTGGGACGACAGTCCCTCATCATAGGGCACTCGTGGCTGCTACACCACAACCCAGAGGTAGACTGGGCTCGACAGAAAGTCGTCATGTCCCGCTGCCTGTCCGCCTGTAGACAGCCGCAAGCACGAAACGACCAGGACCCTGTACTAGAGCCGGGGGATGGGATCTACGCTGCAATCATCCCCCCCGGCTGGGGACACGACCTAAGGGCCACCACGACCCCCTCTCAGCGGATGGCCCAGGAGGCCCATGACCCGGACGCAGAGCCCGCATCGTTCGAGACGCTGGTGCCAGAGCACTACCAGGACTTCTGGGATGTGTTCTCAAAAGAGGCCTTCGACCAGTTGCCCCCCTGGAAGCCCTGGGATCATGCTATAGACCTGGTACCAGATGCCAAGCTGCCCAGAGGGAAGACCTTCCCCCTCTCGCGCCCGGAGCAGAAAGAACTGGACGAGTTCCTGCGCGAGAACCTGCAGAACGGGTGGATACGACCGTCTAAGTCTCCGATGGGTGCACCAGTCTTCTTTGTCAAGAAGAAGGACGGATCGCTGCGCCTGGTACAGGACTACCGGAAGCTGAACGAGATCACCGTGAAGAACTCGTACCCACTCCCACTCATCTCAGACGTCCTCGCCTGCCTCCAGAATGCCAAATACTTCTCTGCCCTGGACTTGCGCTGGGGGTTTAACAACGTCCGGATCAAAGATGGGGACGAGTGGAAGGCAGCATTTGCGACCAACCGAGGGCTGTTCGAGCCTATGGTAATGTTCTTTGGGCTGTGTAACTCCCCCGCGACTTTCCAAACGATGATGAATGACATCCTTAGGGATTTCATCGACCGGGAAGTCGTTATCTGCTACATGGACGACATTCTCATCTTCACGGCCACCCTGGAGGAGCACCGGAAGGTCATCCGAGAGGTCCTGGAGACGCTGCGAAAGAGGAGGCTCTTCCTGAAGCCAGAAAAATGCAAGTTTGAGCGGACCCGGATCGAGTACCTCGGCATCGTCATCTCGGAGGGTAGCGTTGCCGTGGACCCCGTAAAGGTCCGTGGAGTCCTTGACTGGCCAACCCCAACCAAAGTGAAGGAAGTGCAGTCCTTCCTGGGGTTTGTGAACTTCTATCGCCGGTTCATCAAAGACTTCTCTGAGAAAGCACACCCGCTCCACAAGCTGACCTGAAAGGCCCAAACCTGGAACTGGGGCACGGACGAAGACGACGCTTTCCATGCCCTCAAAGAAGCTGTCACCACTGCCCCAGTTCTCTCCTTCCCCTCCGACTCCGGCCGCTTCAAACTCGAATGCGACGCCTCCAACTTCGCAACCGGTGCGGTCCTCTCCCAACTCCAACCTGACGGGGAGTTCCACCCGGTGGCATTCATGTCCAAGAGCTTTACGGACGTGGAACGTAACTACGAAGTGTATGACAAAGAGATGCTCGCAATCGTCCGAGCCCTTGAGGAATGGCGACACTTCCTAGAGGGTGCTGAAGAGAAGGTCGAGGTCTACACCGATCACCGCAACCTGGGGTACTTCAGGATGGGCCAGAGGCTAAATCGCCGCCAGGCCCGATGGTCCCTATTCCTCTCCCGCTTCCACTTCACCCTCGTCCATCGCCCTGGGAAGCTCATGGGAAAACCGGACGCGCTCTCCCACCGTGCTGACCACCCGAAAGGGAAAGACGACAATGAAGGGTTGACCCTCCTCCAACCAGCCTGGTTTGAAGCCCGTGCAACAGAGGGATTCTCGTTGGAAGGTGAGGAGGTAGGCATCTTAGATCGGATACGCAGGGCAAAAGACCATGATGAGAGGGTAGTAAAAGCCATGCGAGAACTGGGAGAGGGGACGCTAAGGTCGGATGAATGGGAAAGGCAAGGCGAATTGGTCTTGTACCTGTCAGGGCCCGGCCCTCGTTCCGTGACAGGCCCAAGGGGATCCTCCGAGTCGCTGGGGTATCTAGTCCCAGTCCGAGGTCTTCAAACTCACTGAGGGGGCTAGCCCCAGCCTTCACAGGAAATGAGTTGCTGCGCATTTAGGAAGTAGCTTAGTTACACTTGCCTTCACAGGAAATGAGTTGAGAAGAAGGGTAACCTTCTCAACCTCCTGTGAAGCCGCTACAAATGGGAGCCGGGAACTATACAGTTTTCGGCTCT